TCCAGGCCTACCCGTTGCCCGGGTCTTTACTTCTGCACAGGCCGGCCACTTCAACCTCCGTCCACGCTGCGCTACTAACCCCTTCGCCACCAATAAAGACTGCAAACAGACTGTGCGTTTCCCTGAACCACTATCGAGGGGGAAGAAGCCAAACATCTGGTGAAGAGCGCAGGTCTGCAAGATAACCCCAACACACACGCACACTACTCTCTCTCATCTCTGGCCGTCTTTCTCTCTCGTTCTCTCTCTCTCATTCTCTCTCTCTCTCTCTCTCTCTCTCTCTCTCTCTCTCTCTCTCTCTCTCTCTCTCTCTGTCTGTCTGTCTGGGTACTGGGTAATCTATATTTCATTGATAATTTTGTCAGGTATGAAATACATTTCTTTTTTTCCAGCCATTGTTTGGAGGTATTTATATTTTCTCAGAATAAAGTAGCGGCGATGCATTCATTGGCATCGGCACACACACACAGGGCTGTTTGACAAAGTAAGACATGGAAGTAAGACAATATGGTTAGAAATACACCAAGACCTTCGTTCAAGACACGTGGCCAAGTGGACCAATTCATACCAAAATCACATCACACAATATCGTATAAGCAAGAAACTTAATTTGATGGACATGGACATATTTATAACGAGAAGGGTTGGGAAAGCAGACGACAACAAGAAAAAGAAAGACAGAAAGAAAAAAAAAGTGCTAATAGATGGAAAGCTATTTACAGCTCATGGTCGCTTGGCCAAAAAAGGACATTATAAACTCATTATCTTGGCACAAAACACTTGCTAATTTCATGTTCGGGTGAGAGTGGTTGGCAAAATGGGGAGACTCCGGGACATTAATTATTGTGTTACGTTCTATCATCATAATCAGTGTGGTTTCATATTATACTAAAGATCATTTGATCCGAGAATTATTGTCTTTTCAATCAACCAACCCAGAATCACAGACAATATAGCCATGTCAAGAAAGATTTGATTAATTATGATTGAAACGAACTGATATCAAATATTACGTACTTCATTCCGCATCAACCCGTGGGAAGAATGAGCACCAGCGTCTAATGCACAACTGGCAACTAAGCTTCCTGTTACCTCATGCCAATAGCTCAAAAAAAAAAAAAAAAAAAAAAAATCCCCTATAAAATACACTTTATAATGATACAAGGGTATGTTAACAAAACAAAAAACAAAATGATACATGGAAAATTCAAAGTAAAGAAACATCTCATATTGATCTAAGTCTAAATGGGTCGAAGCCCAGTCGAGGGTCATCGACTGCTGAACCCAGCTTTTATGGAGCACCTGTCAAGGAACTATTGTATCGCTAGCTTAGTGACGTAACTGCTGTATTACCAGCCTAGTGACGTAACTGTTGTATCGCCAGCTTAATGACGTAACTACTGCATCGCCAACTTAGTGACATAACTACTGCATCGCCAGCTTAGTAACGTAACTACTGCATCGCCAGCTTAGTGACGTAACTGTTGTATCGCCAGCTTAGCGACGTAACCACTGCATCGCCAGCTGAGTAACGTAACTACTGCATCGCCAGCTTAATAACGTAACTGTTGTATCGCCAGCTTAGCGACGTAACCACTGCATCGCCAGCTGAGTAACGTAACTACTGCATTGCCAGCTTAGCGACGTAACTACTGCATCGCCAGCTTAGTAACGTAACTACTGCATCGCCAGCTTAACGACGTAACTACTGCATCGCCAGCTTAGTGACGTAACTACTGCATCGCCAGCTTAACGACGTAACTACTGCATCGCCAGCTTAGTAACGTAACTACTGCATCGCCAGCTTAACGACGTAACTACTGCATCGCCAGCTTAGCGGCGTAACTACTGCATCGCAAGCTTAGTAACGTAACTACTGCATCGCCAGCTTAACGACGTAACTACTGCATCGCCAGCTTAGTGACGTAACTACTGTATCATCAGCAAGTTGTAAACGGCCACATCTCTGCTCTAAAAAACACTTAAAAATCTCATAAACTTGTTTTATGATGACAGCTGATTAACCTGTCTGTGACAGCTAAATTCTGTCGTCGGGTTGTTTCCCTCTGATGTAGAAAAGCTATTCGCTTTACATACACACACACATACGCACACATACGTATATCTATCTATCTATACACACATATATATATATATACATATATATACATACATATATGTGTGTGTGTGCGTGTGCGTGTTAGTATGTATGTCTGTGTGCTTGTATGCACGCGTTTGGGATATAAATATGTATACACACACACACACACACACATATATATATATATATACATATGGATGACTGCAGTCCGCTCAGTGGATGACAGATCATCCCAGATGATGTTAGGGTTCGTGAACGTTGGGCTGCGTACTTTGAGCACCTGTACTAGGTTGATCCTCCAACAGTTAGCTTGGACGCAAGTGGTATCACAGTACCTGTGCCGGACCCGCCCATCAGCGAGGAACCTCCTACGTTACTGAGGTTAGGATGGCGATTTCC